AAAAAAATCTATCAATTATTTAGTTTCAGTATAGTTGAAGTTCAGTTTAGTTTTTTAACTTGAATTTATTTTGCCTCGATTACCCTAATAAAAAGTAAAATTAAACAAATATTTGTGAAATACTCAAAATATACAACCAATTCAATATGAAATTTGGAACATATATTTCTCATCATAGTAACAAAATTCATTTGAAAAAAAATAAATGAGAATAAAATATTATTTTAGAAATAGTGCAAAAAACACCCACATAAAAAATTGTCAAAAAGAGACTTGAAGGATAAAATTTCATGAACTAAAACGCATTAAGGTAAAAACCTTCTTTTAAAGATTTTTTATTACTTTAAGAACAAAATGTGCAAATTTTAGCACTTGTGTATTCTGGGGACAAAAAAATAATTAATTTTGTTATTATAAACTTTGGCTCATAAACTTATACACAAATTATATAAAAATAATTATACACATATATTTCTCTCAAAAAAAGCTTTTATTTCTTGGGGTCAATCAAATCGTCACTACATCATATACCCACAGGTTGGGGTCAAAGAGTTGTACAAGGTGACTACTTCTCAAATTTATTAGAAGTCCTCAGTGGAATTTCGCAAGGTTCTGTACTAGGGCCTCTCCTTTTTGTGTTCTTTTTTAATGACATGCTAGGTATCATTGTTAACCTCGGCATCATTGTTAACGACAAACTCAAATGGCAGGATCAAGTTGCACACGCTGTTGCCAAGACTAACAAGGCACTAAGTATCTTGAAAAGAGCTTTTCATTATTGGGATATAAACAGCTTTCGCATATTCTATATAATTTATGTACGGCCACACCTCGAGTTCTGCTCTTCCAAATGGAACCCTTATTATCGCGGAGACATTGACGCTCTTGAAGCAGTACAAGAAAGAGCCATTAAGCTCGGGCCAATTCTCAAGCCATTAAAGTATCGTCAAAGACTTACCGCTTTAAAAATTCAATCACTAGAGGATAGACGGCGTAAAGGCGACCTCATCCAATAGTTTAAGATGTATACAGCATCAACAAAATTGAGCTCCGTAGACTAAATTAGTTAGCTCCAGCACAAAGTATGCAGGGATCTGTAAAATGCCTCCGAGTGCAATGCCATCGACTTCAACGGCAAGCAGTAACACACAGTGTTCAAAGAGAATTTTTCTTCTGTAATCGTGTTGTACCTAACTGGAACCTTTTTCCAACGCTTTTAAAAATAAACTAGACCTATTTACTGAACTTTTACAAAAAAAAAACAACAAAAAAACTAACATTTATCACAGCGGGCTTCGCTAGTTGCCTTGCTTGCAAATGCTTAGTTATTTTTTATAAATTACTATTATTATTATTATTATTACTATTATTATTATTACTATTATTATTATTACTATTATTATTATTATTATTATTATTATTATTATTATTATTATTATTATTATTATTATTAGCATTATTAATATATAACCCCAGGCTTGTTAGGCTAATTAGCAAAACGGGTATCAGGCATGGGTTATACTAAATCCAAATTATTTTAAATTTCACATATAAAACAACATTAGATACAAGATCCACCACTAATCAGAACCAATAAAAAAAAAACACAAAAAAACAACAACAACATGTATGCAACAGTCAACCGGGATGAAACCATTAGAATTAACCATGAGCCATAATGAATTTACTTTAATATAGCGCTATACTTCTTTATAATAAAATAATAGCTATAATAAAAATTTAATGAACTTCATTGTACTCAAATTCCATTGTATTGAAAAAAAAAAAATGTTAACGAATGTAATGCGTATTTTTAAAATTTTTTAAAATTTTAATTTCTTAACTTTTTTTTTTTTTCCTTTATAGAGAACACAATTTATGTACCCATCGCGATGGGTACATAAATTGTATTCTCTATAAAGGAAAAAAAAATTATTTAAATAAATTAAATTAAATTTATTTATAATATTTATAAATTTATAATATATAATAAATTAATTATAAAGAAAATAAATTAAATTTCACCTTCTTTTATTTAAAGTTACTAACGATATCGGTAGTAACTTTAAATAAAAGAAGGTGAAATTTAATTTAATTTCTTAGAAAAAAATAAGTTTAATAAATGATTTTTATTTATTAATGGGGTATGAACTATTATTTTATAAAACTAGAATTTAAAAATCAATCTAAAACTATTCCATACTTAATACATTTTGAGTTCAAAAATTATAGTATTCACATACTTTGAGTTCAAAAATTTTATTATTTACATAATATATATATAATAATGTTTTTTATATACTGACATAAAGTAGTAGTAGCTCTGTAAATAACGGCTCAGTAATTATTTTTAATAAATCTTCTTTCAACCAGAGCCAACAACACCGGGGGAGGGTGGACCTTTGCCCAACCCCCACTGTTTTTCTAAAAGACCTTTTTTTTTTTTAGATATAAAAGACTTTTTTTTTAATTGACGATTGTACCCCCCCCCTCACACACACACACGCTTCGAAACCCTTGTCGACAGCCTTGTCAACACTAAAGCTCTAATGTACAAAATTTGACAAGCACGTTCGCTACGCGGAGAACAGTACTACTAGAGACCTTGGCGTGGGGTATTTCTCTGATATACAATCATTTAAGAAAGTATTCAGGGATCAAAACTATGTGACCTGTTCCCGGTAACTGTTGAGTTGAAAAAAATTATATGCTTTGTCATATAAAAAACTTATCATATTCAAAGTAAAGTTTAAAGTTTTAAAATATAAATCCATAGTGAGACAGGAGCGAAAGCAAACGATTAAAAGAGCGTTAAAAAAAAAGACCAATAAAAAAGAAAAAAAGAAAAGCTCTTTTTTCTCGATTTTTTATTATAAAAAGGCGCTTTTTTGCTATTTTGACCCTGGACCCTTATGACCCTCGCTTCGCTACTGATTAAACCCTCTTGCTCCTTCTTTACTACAGTGACACCGTTAATATTTTTGCTTCTAAAGTGGTTCGGTTTACCCGCCATAAAACCAAAAAAAACGAAACGTTTTTAGATGCTATCCGACCCATCACATTCTCTTTATTTATATAAACCGGAAACCGGTTATTCTTGAGTAATAACCTAAAAAAAAAAAAAAAAAGAAAAAAAAAAAAAGAATACTAAGTTAAATGTAGTCTAAAATTCTGTTATTATTTAATAGCCCACTTATGTGAAATTATCTGGCTAGCAACTTAAGCCAACATTTATTTCAAAATTTTAAGTTTCAACACTGCTTTTTTTATCTTTATTATTAAAGATAAAAAAATTTTTTAGGTGGGAGCTAATGTAATTGATCTTTTAGAATTGTATATAACTTGTTTATAAACCAGTTTTTTTTTTAAATTTTTATTTTATTTCAGTTTTGTTCAAGTTTGGGACTTAAAAGGAATAAAATTCGACAATTTAAAATCTAAAACATAGACTTAAGTTGCTTACTTCTGCTGTTGGTAAATTTATGGAAAGTTAGTTCCTGGTTTTATGGAAAATTATTTCTTAATCTGCTATCTTGGCATCAGTTCAGATTTGTTAAAAATTGATTGCATGTGACTAATATTTTAGAAGTTTAAAAAGTTACACTTATTACAGAAGCTCTTAGTGATGTTTGCTTTTCGCATCTAATTGTTTTTGATTTTGTTAAGAAATTTGATTGTGTCATATATTGCTTTTAATTGAAAGCTAGCTGATTACTGTTTCTGTGATATTGATCTCAATTGGCTAAAAGATTTTTTGTGCAACAGAAAATAACATGATTCTTGGCAATTATGCTTCTAATGGTTTATTTAATTATGCTTCTAATGGTTTAGCAATTATGCTTTTAATGGTTTTTAATGTTTTTAACAACCACACGCCTGGTTTTTTAATACAACTTCTGTGAATTATTGCTCTAATTAAGTGATCAAAACCTGTTTATTGGATCTAGAACATGTGCCAAACAATATCGATGTCTTGTTTCAAGATTTTGCAAAAAGTTTAAAAAAGACAAAAAGCTAAACAAAATTCACAGTGTTTTGTTTATTTTTCAGTATTCCTTATCTGCTTGATACCTTAAACACTTGTATTCTACTTAGGGTTGCCAAATGTCTAGCTTTTATGAAGAATAACACAGTAAAAAAAAAATATTTTTGCAGATTTATCGCTGTATTCTTCTCCATGAAAGCCGAATGTCTGGCAACTCTAATTCTACTTGATAATTTCTATTATATATACTGTTATTATATATACTATTACTGTATAATATCTATTGTATATACTGTTCAGTATTACTGAAAGCATTCTAAATCTATATGTCAATTATAATCTTAAATGAGCTGATCAAATAAATTCCAAACTTTATAAACTAATTTAGACCATGGTATTTAAAAAAAACTTTTAAAAATTGGAATTTGTGGAAGGTATTGAGTAGCTGGAAAAAATACAGTGCAGAGCAGCTTTGTACAATTAAAAATATCAATTGAAATTTATTTAATTAAAATAATTATGGAATTTAAGACTAAACTAAACTTTTGGAATAGTGAATAGAGATTCACATCGATATAAATATCTAGCTTGTTCTCTTATTTGGTTTCTTTACAATTAGTTACTATTTTATTTTAGTTATTATTTTATTAGCTGTTATTATTTAAAAACAGCTACATCAAGTGGGATGGTTCCATCATACATTGTTCTACTATAACAGGATCTTGTTAGATGCCTGTCTCATCGAGGCAAAATACTTCTGTAGAATATCACTATTACTAATTTATAATACAAATATTTGTTTAACAATTATTAGTTAGTTTTGGTTAAATCAAAGCAAACCCAACTTGTTAAAATTGTATGTTTCTCAAAAGGTTGACCCATACCTGGTTTAATAGATAAAGTCTAGTAAAATCCAGTATCTAATATATTTTCAACCCTAAAAAAGTGTATTAATTTAATTTACAATGTATAAATAATTTTTTTAAATCTGCAGGCAAGTGCTGAGTTGAAAATTAATTTGCATATATAATTCTGTTTCAAATTTACAGATGACAAACAAAAAAAAAACAACAAATCAAACTGGCGATTGGCAGAAAGAAGAGGAAATTGTACAAGCTGTTATTATTGCTGATAGTTTTAATAGAAAGTTTGCTCCTATTACATATGAAACTCCAAGAGTATGAATATATTTGATTGCTATTTTTTCTTTAATTTTTAAACTGTTAAAGTTTAACTGAATATTCAAATAAAAGTTTACTTTTTAATTATTGGTCATTATTTTACTTATTATTTTTATTATTTTAAGTTATATTTTTTTATATATAGGCGCTTTTATCTTTGGGTAATAAAGTACTGATTGATTATGCAATTGAATATCTAATTGCAGAAGAAATTCAAGAAATTATTGTTTTTTGTTGTTCATTTGGTGAGAAAATAAGAGACTATATTAAGTGAGACATTTTATACTTTTATTTTGGTTAATATTTTGATATTATATATAATTACTTATGTATTTGTATAACTTTCTATTAAAATGGTGTTTACAAATAAATATTTATAGTTTTACACATTAAGCTTCATAAAATTAAAAGTTTTTATATAAAATAAAACCATTAAAAAAAAACACAACATAAAACATGTAATAGGTATCATGAGGTGAACTGAAAGATTTGGTTTATTCTTATTTAGTAATTTTATCTAACCACAAACAATCGTGTTTCAAAATTAATACTTAATAATAATAATGATGATATTTTTTTTAATGATAACTTCTAATGTGGTGTAAATAAAGTTTAGAAGCCTTTATGATAACTTCTACTGCGGTGTAAATAAAGTTTAGAAGCCTTTATGATAACTTCTACTGTGGTGTAAATAAAGTTTAGAACAAAAAAAGCTGTAACTTTTAACTATTTAATTATTAACTTTTTTTTTTGTAAAATAATACTACACAAAATAATAAACACACGTAAATATAGTGAATACATACAAATATAAAATAAACACACACTAATATAGTAAATACTGCACAAAAAAATAAACACACACAAATATAGTGAATACATTGATTTTGTTATAGGAGTAGTAAAATAGGTGAGACAAATGAGTTGAATTTTTTTTTAAATTTTATTAGGTAATTAATTTACACATTCAAATAAATTGCAACAACAAAAGTTTTGTCTTAATGACTGCTAGCCTTTTTCAAAAAAAGTTTTTTAGGCTAAATATTATTGCTTCCGCTGCTGTATCATTAAAAAAAATTTTGATGGTGGTATGTTACTTATTGTTCTACTATATGACAATCCAATTATTTACTGTCTTGTTTCTTGCAAAACACTTTTTTTGGACCATTTATAATGGAATTGTAAATTAAAAATTTTTAAAGTACAATAATTTTACAGCAACTGTTTTATTTATTTTTTAAATCTTTAGATAATTCTTTTTCTCAGGGAATTTTTTTTTTAATTTTCATTTTTTAGCAACTAAGATGATGAAATGTCAGTTAGCAAGTTGTCAACAATTTTTGTCTCTTTAAAACTCTGAAAATTTCTATTTGAATTTTCATGTCTCAAATTTATTGTACGTAAATTTATTGTACGTAAATTTATTGTACGTAAATATAAACACACATAAAAATTTAAATCAAAATAAATTTTTTTTTATCAGAGTAATCGCTAAAAAAATTAAAATAAGTTTTTGAATCTTTTATTTTATTAAAGGAAACATTTTTGTTTTGAAAAAAAAACAAAAACATTTTTTCAAAATAGTAATTATATTTGTTACTAAAAAAATAATTAATAATAATATAGCTAATAAATAATAATATAACTAATAAGTAATAGTAATATGACTAATAAATAATAATAATAATATAACTATTATATTAGTATGCTCTTGAAAATAAATATTGTAAAACAACAGCAACATAATTCTGTGTACTAAAAACAACCACGCTAATTGTTACAAAGTAACAACTAATAACAATAACACAATCCTGTGGAATAATTATTTTCACTTCATATTACATTTAATAGCTGTTCTTTGAAGAGTAAAAATTAAATTATTTTGATATAAGACTGAATGAGCACTTTAAAAAAAATTAAAAATTGAAATAACTTATTTATTAAATTTTTTTTTTTTTAATATAACTGTATGAAAATTTCTGTGCAATTACAATGCATTAACTTATTAAACCTGGCTTTATTTAAAATTATGGTAAAAAATGTTTTTAAAGTTAAAGAAATCAAGCAGACATTTAATGTCATCCATATTTATACTATACACTAAACTTTAATTTGTATTTCAATCTTCAGCCTTAAATCAATAGCTGGTATTAAACGTTTGACAATAATTATAACCTAAAAAGAAATAACCTATATAATTATAACCTAAAAAGAAATATTATTTGTTTTCATTAAAATTTTGCTCAATTGTTATGATCATAAAATTTTTTTTTTTATTAGTGAGAAATGGACTAAAAAAACATCTCATTGTTTAATACATTGTATTATGTCATCAACTTCTGATTGCATATCTCTGGGTGACGCTCTTAGAGAAATTGACAGAGAGGTAAAATTATAAATAGTTTAAAGTTTTCACTAACAAAATCAATATTTGATTTTTTTTTATTACTGTCATCAGATTAATATGTTAAAAGTTTATTTGTAAATCTCAGTCTTTGTTTGAACTACCAATATCCTCCAAAAACTACAAATACCCCCCAAATGCTAAGCTAATCTTCACAATCAAGATTGTTTCAATGAGGAACTGGCTTTATACTATTAGAAATATTGCTGCTTTGATATCAAAAAATTTTGCTCAAGCAATAAATGCAACAGTAATACTTAGATCATTTGACCACTATTTAAAATATGTTATGCATATAATTTAATGTTATTAAATGTTAATATTTATAATATTAAAACATGTTTTCTTGAAAAAAAAACTCAAATTTAAGATTTCCATAAACATAAATTTGAGGTTTATGAGATTTTCAGAAGCTCTAAAAAAAAAAAAAAAAAAAATCTGATTTTACCTGCTGGGATATCTGTTAGAGTATATCTATGATGTCTCTAAGAGCACATTTTAATTATTTAATATATTAAAAAAAGAAGCTTTTTAATTTGAATTATCTTTTTAAAGTTTTCAAAATTATAGGACTGTTAGCCTGAAAAAACTTTTTTGTTCTTCACAATAAACATTGTTTTCTTTTGCATTTTTTTGTTCTTCACAATAAACATTGTTTTCTTTTGCATTTTTTTTTCTTCACAATAAACATTGTTTTCTTTTGCATTTTAAAACAATAATTAAGTAATAAAAGGTTTTATATATATGTTTTTTTTCAGGGATTGATTCGGTCAGATTTTATTTTGTTGCCTGGTGATCTTTTATCCAATATTAAATTATCTTCTATCATCAAAGAACACAGGTTAATTTTGAGTTTTCCCTAAATTATTAATAATTCACCCTAAGAAAATTTAAGGAATACTATAAAAGAAGAACAAATCAATCTTTTTGTTATTGATTGATCAATGAAATTATTTGTTAAAAAATTTGTAAATAGGTTTAAGGTTAATTTTTTACACAAAAAACGATGCATTTAGAGCAAAAAGAAAAAAAGAAAAGACATTAGTGATGACAAATCTTTATAAAAAGATGGAGCCGGGTCATTTTAGTAGGTGAGTTTATTTATTGAATTTTAAAGGTGAAAAATTAATTTTATGAAAAATATTACATCCAAAGTTTTATTTTAGGAACACTTAATAATTACGTAGCATTAGTGATGCACCAATTAATCAGCATCAGTATTGGTATCACCTTAATCTGACACTTTTTGCACAATTGGTATCGTTATTAATGTCACCTAATTTTGTAACCGATTGTTTTTAAAAAAAAATTTAATTCTGCTTTAAGAAATTAGTTACATACAAAATAAACCAAACTCTCTTTATATATAATATAGGTATACCTTTTTTTTTTTTGAGACAAAACTATACAATTTAAAATATATATTTTTAATAGCAATTGTACATCGCTTGAGGAGTGAAGATGGTAGTAGTTGTAGAAAATAGAAAAAAAATGCAACCATATGACAAATGAGAAAGAAGCACAAGCTTTGGAGATAGATCCAGTTCAACTACATTTACAATGTGTTTTTTAATTATGTCTAAAAGAGAATGAGCATAATTGAAAGGACCAGCCCAAATATGACAACAGTATTCCATACAAGAATAAATAAGAGATTTATAGAGAGAATGGAATGAGGAGTAAGAACATGAAAGTACCATGCTGCCTTAGAACTGAGATCACATTCAAGATTAGCTGCTTTTTCTAAGCAATTAAAATCTCATAACTCTTTTGAATAAAGTATATAGTTGTCTCATCATCAGCAAATAGAGAAGGAAAAGATTATTGGGAAGATCAATATAGATAAGAAACAAACAAGAGTGAAGATGATCAAGGGTTTGTCATCCAAGGCAGGAAACAATATAACACAGGTTTAAATCTATGCCAGCTTATTATTGATAAAGGATTGCAAAGCTGTTCTGCAAAAACTTTCTGCTTACCCATTTGCTTAAGTATTTGCCCAGGAAGTTTTCTACAAGGCAGTAGCCACATGTTAACATCTGCCTAAGACAAATATTTTTTATCAAGACACCATCTCTAGCCTAAGCTCAACCAAGAACCCCAAGGCAAAGTGTATTTTAAGTCAGAGTTACAAGGCAGTGATACATCTGCCAGGTTATACTTTATTACATGTTACCAAGGTTACATGTTACCAGTAGCTGTGTGATCATGGTGATCTTGACCTGACCTGTGATATTTAATTTTATATTATTGGTTATTCTTATATTCGGTTATTTATTCGGTATCAGCATCTGTATCAGCCTTTTTCTATTGGTATTGGCATTGGCCAAATATACTCAATCAGTATATCACTACTGAGTATTTTTATTTATTCTTGTCAAAGCTATTTAAATCTGCATAAAAAATAAGTTTCCCTGAAAAATTTGTAAAATATATTTAGTTCCTTTGAAAAATTTATTCTCCAAAAAAATTAAGTTCCTCTTAAAAATAATAATCTTTTCAAGACTTGAATTTAACTAAAAGATGAATTTCAAGCCTTCCCTGAAAATGCATGTGGTTTTTTGTCTCATATGTCCACGCATAAGTTTTTTATTTTGGACCGTTTACAAGTTTTATTATATTAGGTAATTCAATACTTTGCGGAAAAAACTAAGTTTCAAAAACAAAGAAAACAAAACAAAAGGAGATTAAAATAAATTTAAGTAGAATAAAATTTTAAAGATTTATTAATTTAAATAATTTTGTCTATTGTTTTTCTTTTTGTTTCTTTAGGGTAGTTGATATTTTCAGCAAGGAAATTGGATAAGGCAAAGCAAAAAAAAAATCAGTTTTAAGTCAACATAAAAATGATTTTCCTATATTTTATTTGTTTTTTTTTCAAAAGAAAAGCAAAAATATAAATTTATATCTGTTTGTAAAATATATTTGTGTAATTTTAATGTAACAAGTATATATGAAAAGTATATATTGTCTCTATATATACTTAGTATTGTCCTTATATGAATACATCTATGTAATGCATGCATATATATTTTTATATATTCATATGTTGGTTTGTTCATCAATGCATATGTAGGTATCTACCTCATTGGTTTTACTTTTATGCCAATTTTTTAGTTATTTAATCATATTTATTTCTTTAAAAATCAAACACACATAAAGCTTATTTAAATAAAGTGATTACTTCATACACAGAATGTCCGTGGTTCGAATCTCAAAAAAAAATTCTTTTGAAATATTAAATTTAATAACAACCACCCTAAAAAATGAAAATAAAAACAGTATGCAAATTGTTTAAATCTAAATTTAGTTTAACTTCCTATTTTGTTAATTTTTTTTTTTTTTTTTTTTGAAACTTTTTTCTGCAAAGTATTGAAATGCTTAATATAATAAAACTTGCAAAAGGCTGTGACCAAGTTGTGTAAAAAAAAAACTTACACGTTTACATGAGACGAAAAACCGCATGCATCTCCTGGGAAGACTTGAATTTAGACCACGTGCATACACCAAATTTCAAAACATGAACTTTCTTTTACAAGTCCACTGCACCGAGAAACAGGTTCATACGCATGAAAAATTTAATATATTTTATTCGATTTTAACTGTAAGTTAAATAAAATTTTTAGCGAATTTAACTGAAAGTTGAATTTCTATTTTAAATTCGGCACCAAAGTTGAAGCCAAAGTCAATTTCCCTTTTAAGTAAACTTGAATTTTAATGAATATTTGCCAGTCCTTCTGAAGCTTTGTTTTAATTTTTGAAAATTTTTATAATTTAAGTTTCAGTTATTTGTATTTGAAATTTGAATGATAAAAATGAAGTATTCACATGATATTATTTATTTTATTTAGGTGTCCAGAAGAGGATGTTGTGATGGCAATAGAAAGTGATACAAACAAACTCTTGTACATTCAAAAAAGTAATTGCTGCAAAAATCTTTTGTTACCAATGGTAATACTCAAAATTTTTATTTTTTTTAATTTTGCAATTATGTGTAAAGAAATTAAAAATGTTTAAAAAGCTAACAGTTTGTTTATTCAAACTACAAGCTTGCTGTGAACTACATTTGTATAAAATAGCTTGAAAAAGTAAATTGGGTGAATGAAAAAAGTCTTGCACTAAGCCGAACGAGCAGCAATAAAGTGTATCAATTTTTGTTGACAAGTATCAAAATATATTTTGCTAAAAGTAAAATATATTCAAAATTAAATAGAATAATACTTCTACCAATCCAGTTAAAACCTGTACCAAAAAGAAGAAAATTATTTCAAAATTTACATTAATTAAACTAAAAGTTGTTCTTTTTTAAAGTATTAGTTAGTGAATTGGTAAAGCACAGTGGCTGTAGTGACACTGTCACTGTCACAGACACTGTCACTGTAGATGAGCTCAACTCTACTCCTGAACCAAAACTCATTTTGAGCCAGGCTTTTTTTTTACAAAATGTGCATTTATTGTAAAAGTTGATATATATTTTCTATTTTTTTTTTAATTTGGTTCCTTATTTTATTCAAATAGAATAAATATGCGTAGTTATAAATGTATAATAAGTTAGGTATAAAAAAATTTATGAAGCTTGGTATACCAGAATTTATGATCCTTTCTATGCTAAGATCTTAATTGATTTTTGAAGTTTTAAAATGCAAAAAAGTTATTCTAACTTAAAATTTTAAATTTTTTTAACATCTTGTTTAGCTTCTGTTTTTTGCTGTAATATTAGTTTTAACCTGGGTCTTAAACAAAGTTTTAAAAGAATTTAGTAAAGAATTCAAAAATATTTTTTTTTTAATTTCTTATGATTTAAAAAAAAACAACTAATATTGCAACTAATAAATTAGCTTAAACTTTTAAAGTTTAAAATTTTAAGTAGCTCTTCCAGAGTTTTATCTTATGCTTTTTTTTTTTTTTCAATCCGAGTTTCCTTTTCTGCTCTTTCTCTACCAGCTTTCTTATTTGCTTTTCTCTTCTGATCAGAATTTCCTCTTATGCTTTTGAACCAGAAATAATATCCGTAAAAATAACAGAAATACTTTTAAAGTTGTTTAAAAAAAGTCGGCATATTAGTTTTGTTCTCATCTATTGTTTATGTTTTTAGTTTTTCGAGTAATTTGACAGAAAGAAAGTTTTTGACATAAATCTACTACATATAAGAGATCAGTATTTTTATCCTCTTGATATGTTTCCATTATTTTCTAATTTTAACTTTGATTGAGTGATGCTATTTTCTAATCTGAAATATCTGACTTATTCTTTTGTCTCAGGCATCAGCCAATATTTAAAATTTCTCTATAGATTGACTTGCCTGTTCAGATGCAATGTCTGAACATGCGAGTCAATCTGAAAAATATAAATCAGATTATGTTCAATCTGAACATAATCTGATTTCAGTTCATGAAGACATTTTTAATGTTTTATAGAGTTATGTGCATAATTTAATTTGATGTTCATAACTATCACTTGTTTTTTATTGAAGAAAAATATGCTAGTAAAATAGAAGGGACTTGTGCAATCATTTGACTTCCTAGCAAAATAGTGAACATTTTAATAAGAGCGAGGTTTTTCTTAGAGTTATTGCTCTGTTTTGGAAATAGCAGGATTTTCAACAAATCTTTACAATGTTTTATTTGTCATTTTTTGTACATGCATGATTTAAAATCTAAGCAACTATAAAATTTAATCGAACCCAGATGAGTTTAAATAAATTTTATAGTTGATTGTAGTAAAATATTGATTGTCAGAGAGTATACTGTTGATTGTCAGAGAGTATACTGTTGATTGTCAGAGAGCATACTGTTGATTGTCAGAGAGCATACTGTTGATTATCAGGGAGTATGCTGTTGATTGTCAGAGAGTATACTGTTGCATTCAAGAAAAAATTTATAAATTAAAAACTCAAAGATCTTGCTAATAAAAATAAAACTGATTGTGTGAAGTTACATGTTAGAGTGATCTAATGTTAGATGGTCGAAGGTAAGATGTTAGAGTGATCTAATGTTAGATGGTAGAAGGTAAGATGTTAGAGTGATCTAATGTTAGATGGTAGAAGGTAAGATGTTAGAGTGATCTAATGTTAGATGGTAGAAGGTAAGATGTTAGAGTGATCTAATGTTAGATGGTAGAAGGTAAGATGTTAGAGTGATCTAATGTTAGATGGTAGAAGGTAAGATGTTAGAGTGATCTAATGTTAGATGGTAGAAGGTAAGATGTTAGAGTGATCTAATGTTAGATGGTAGAAGGTAAGATGTTAGAGTGGTCTCCAGATCATAGTTATAAATTTAGTGACTGATCTCCAGAGTTTTTAAAAATTGGAATCACAGATGTCTTTTTCCAGCAGATAGGGAGAGACTTAAATGAGCAGATAGGGAGAGATTTAGTTAAGCACTTAAATAGTTTAGAGAATATTAAAGAGAATTCTCAACGACAATGTTGTAAGACTGTGACAATTATATTGTTCAGACCACTAGCTGTAGAAAAGAGTCTTTGTTAATGTCATTGCATAAGTTGCTTTTGTTAATGACATTACAAGATAATCCAAAAGTCTCTAGAACTTAACTTACGGGATAAAATACAAAATAATAGACCCTAGTGTTAGACAATACGCTAAAAAAGAATCACAAAGTTAACTATCTGAGTAAGAGATAGAAAATGATAAAAATATTTAACTTCAAAGCAGTACAAGAGACAATGTTTATGTTTTGATAATTTAAAACTGTTGATGGAGCCAGAAGGGGTGTACTCTCATGGTTGTTCGGTTGGACGGGGACGACTCATTATCTCAAAGAGCAACTGAAATTAAAAAAAAAATGCCTGTCAGTCGTTACTTACAAAAGTGTGTTTATTAATAAAACCATATTTTGATTTATAAAGATTTTATTCCTTGTGATCATTTAAAAGAAAACTTTAAAAAGCATTTAAAGTAGTTTACACTTCGTTTAACAATTAGTACACTATGGTACACAATTTAACCGACACACAATTTAATATTTCAAAGTGTAGCTGTATTGTTTTTTTAAACATTGTTGATGCATTTCAAATCATGTTTCTTCTTAATTAAAAATGTGTTTTAAAATTACATTTTCTTTTAATTCAAAATTCTAATGTATCATTTTTTAAACCTTATAGTCACATTTTAAAACAAGCAAAAGGACAGTTGAATCATTAATAATACTGAATCTCTTTTGTTTTTCATTATTACAATAAATTTTTGTTTTAACTTTGTCAAACAAAATTAACAAAATAAAAAACGATATTAAGATGCATGTGAAATATAATTGGTAGAATGAAATTAATGATGTTTTTTTTATTTATTAATTTTAGTTATTCTTTTATTCGATTAATGATTCTTTTTTTCTAAAAAAAAAAGTCTTAGTATAACAAAAAATGTTTAAAACATTAAAAATATGTTTTAAACATTTACCTAAATTAAATTTGATTGAAGATTGAGAGTGAATAGTATAATATTTTTCTATTTATAAAACGTTTCTTTGCAGTTTTGGCTTTCCATTTTTTTGCTTCATGTAATAAAACCTTTGTTAAGATTGACAAAAAGATGGTGGAAATGGATGGTGCGAAACAAATATCAACTACGACAAAAATGATAACACATTTTTAATTAATTAAATTAATTAAGAAATTAATTTACTTTTAAATGAACCATTTTTTATTAGACATATTTTAGTAGTCAAAGGTTTAAATTTTTTTTCTTCAGTATTTTAACCCGAGAAAAAAGTACAAAAACTTTTACACCAGACTACTGATTATTATAGCAGACAATTCAAATGAGAAATAAAAACTATTTCAGTTGCCCGCAGGGTGACCAGGAAAACTGGAGGATACAATTCTTACCAGGTGCTCTGAGAGCTACTACAGCATTCAGGAATCCTTACTACCAGCTGGCTTCAAAATTATTAAGCTGAGTTTTAAAGCTGTACCCTTATGAGATAAAAGTTGCATAGGTACTACCATGAAAGCACAAGCAAAAACCCATGAGCAGAGTCAAGAGGATCCAGCATTCATTATCCTACGCAGGAAACATTGTAACTCAAGTTTGTATCTAGGTCAGCCTATTAGATGAAGAAAGGGTGTTAAACATAATGAAGAAAATCTTTGTCAAGGAAGCTAGACAACAATAGCCATATGCAATTAAAATTTGTCAAGGATTAGTATTTTTATTAATATATCTCTAGCCTTAACTCAAACAAGAACCCAGGTAGGTTTAAGTTTAAGTTTTCGTAGTGTTTGCCTAGAAAAGCAAGTCCTTAAAGGCAGTCAGACTTTAGGCAGGTTGTACTGAATTATATGTTACCATGGCAATCATGTTAATCCTAATCCTGATTATATGTTGAATATTATATGTTTATATGTTGAAAATTATGTTTATATGTTGAATATTATATGTTTATATGTTGAATATTATATTTATAGGTTGAATATTATGTTTATATGTTTAATATTATATATTTATATGTCGAATATTATATGTTTATATTTTGAATATTATATGTTTGTATTTTGAATATTATATGTTTATATGTGGAATATTATATGTTTATATGTTAAATATTATATGTTTATATATTAATATTTATATTTTGATAATAGAACAAAGAATAGCTTATCTGATCAATTTAATGTTAACATATTACCATAATTATTAATGCTTATCTGTTAATATAAAGTTTTCTATTTTATCAATAAGATAACATTTACTTTTATGCTCCCTGTTTTTTATATGATATGTTTGTTTGGACAATAGAGTCTTCTCAATAATGAAAAAGAAGTTTGTATTCGCTATGATCTTGCAGCCACTCATATTAGCATCTGCTCTCCACAGGTTTTCGCATTTTTTTTTTTTATGTTTAAAAGTCTAAATAAATAAAGTTTTGGTAAAAAAATACTTTAATTTGTTTTGTTGATATTTAACTTTAAAATTTCTAGGTTGCTCCATTATTTACAGACAACTTTGACTATCAAAATTTGGATGATTTTGTTAGAGGTGTTTTAATTAATGAAGAGGTAAATATATATATTATTTATTTATGCCCTTCGTATCCTAGCCTTCCATATTTTATACTAGTCTTCTACTTCTTATCCTAGCCTTCTATTTCTAGATAGAACACTCAAACCCTCAGTTTATGTATCTACTGAAGCCCCTGCAAATGACTATTTAATATGACATTATCAATGATGTTTTGAAATTATGTTAAATTTTATTTTAATTAGTTGCCTAAAATAATTAGTTTTATGAAAAATTAACTGTCAAAGTAATTTAAGTAATTTCATAAAGTTTAAAATAAGTTTTGTATTGTTTTTTTGTATTTATCAAAAAAAAATTTTGTATTGAAAAATGATCCGTTTGATTTAAATCTCTTCGACTAATTAAAAAATGTTTTTTTAATATTAACATTTTTTAATCATAAAAGTTTGCACACAAGAAACAATTTTTTATAAAAACTTTACACTTCTGTAAATTTGCATTAAAAACAAACAATTACAAATTTTAAGTTCATTTTTTGTCATTGTTTCAATGAGACAGTTTAAACAGTTTACAAAAACAAACAGAAAAATAATGGTGGGAGTTTTTTTTATTTTCATTATATAGAAAGAGTGTTGTTCATCAAGGGCAACACAATACTTCGATCAGAAAGAAATGATTCAATAACTTTAAAAACTTATTTTAGTTTGTCTGCAGGCAAATAAGAATATTGAAATGTATTGATTATCAGAGTGTAAATTGCTAATAACAAAAGATTAAGCAATAGTGGGTGGGTGATTTGGGTGAGAAAGATCTCCAGATTTTTTCAAATTTGGATCAAAAGATTTTCCAGCAGGTAAGAAAAAAAAATTCAGTTAAACACTTGTTGTTTAAAGTATAATAAAGAAAGTTGTCCAGAACACAAGTTTTAGAGAAGTTTAAATTGCAACATAACCAGGACTGATTTGTGATTGTAACAGTGGATTAATCTGCTTCTCTTGGATTACATGAAAAGTGTAGTCATTAGATTTACAAAATAATTTTTTTTTACATGAATAGAGTGGTCAAAGAATTTATAAAGTAAATTCTTTGCAAATAAATCTACCTTATCAATGGGAGATGTGATAAGATCAGATATATTAGACAAGATCAGACAATAAAGAATTAAAAGAAAGATTGAATAGGTGTTAAACCAAAGCATATAAAAGAGTTATAGTATTATTGAAATCTTTGCAAATCAAAGAATAATATAGTTCCATCAACACTGTGATCTGAAGATGAATTTAAATTAGTCTCAAACCCCAAAAAATACTTACAAATAAAGCATACCCCTAAAGGTTTTGCCTAGGAAACCTTTTAGACTGTAGTTGAACACAGTTAAAATCTGCCCAGATTTTTTATTGAGGCACTATCTCTAGCTTTTACTCAAATAAAATCTCGAAGGGGTATTTTAAGTCAGGTTTATTTTCTCATAGTCTTCTTCTTGTAAAGTGAATCCTCCATGGCAGCAGGTTATGAATCAGGTTGTCCTTAATTACATTTACAGATGTTGTAAATCAGTTTTGTGGTTTGTGATTAGTTAATTGTAAATTAACTTAAGATTGTAAATCAGTTTTGTGATTTGTGAATAGTTTAAAAATAAAATCCAAAGAAATTCATTAACTTGACTTTTATAATTTGTTAGTAAGTGGTTTTTTTATGTATATGGTATATACAGTAGTGGTGTAGTGGTGTCCCTTCTTGTAAACTCAAAAAAGAGTCCTTTTCATGTCTCTGGTTGGAAGAGGGTTGTAACAACAATTTAAAAAATTAAAAAAAATAATAGGTGAGTAACCTCCTTGGCTTTAGTGACCACTGCAAAAATATACACTACTTTTAAGTTTTAATTATATAAAATATAATAAACAAAAATGAAAATAAAAAATAAAATATGCACTTTTATTATAAAGGAAAACTTTGCTACAATAAAAAATTTAGAGAACAATGTTTTGAGAATATCCTGTTGCTCTTTAAAAGCATCCTTGAATTTGTATTTACAATTATAAGTTACAATTTGTATGCAATATTATGTCCATTAGAGTATATCATGTCTTTATTTAGATAATGGGAGATCAAGTTTGCATTGAAGTTATGAATGAAGGTTATTCATCTAGAATCAATGATCTTCATATGTATAATGCTGTTAGGTAGAATTTTTAAAATTTATTGTCAATTTTAAAATAAAAAAAGTGGTTATTGAAGCTTTTTTAAATGAAAAAAATTCAATTAAATGAGGATTGTTTATGTGTACATCAATGAAATGAAATGAGAATTGTTTATGTGTACATCTAAATAATATCTTCAGTTTTCTGATCCATAAAATAATTTTTATGAGTTACAACCACTTGTAAATGTTGCATTCTAATCTTCTTTATTGACAAGTTTAAACAAAAATTACATGAAGGAAAATTTCCTCCAAATAAAAATATTATTATTACTTGGTTCCTCCAGATAGTTCGAAATAAGAATCTTCAGATAGTTCCTCCAAATAAGAACAATAAGATTCCACCAAATTTTTCTAAATTATTGTTGAAACTGCCATAATAGACTTTTTATATAAAAAAAAATTATAGAATCTTTTATATTAAATTACTACTTATAGAGTATTTTTATAGTATGGATCTATTGAACCGTTGGATATATCCACTAGTTCCAGACATTTTCTTTTCATGTACTTTTAAACGTAATAATGTTTATTTGGAGAAAGATGTAAGAATCGAAAGGTATCTTTGCTTATTTTTTATATATGCTTTGTTAATTAAATAGTATTGTCAAATGATTTTTATATAACCGTGTTTGTTTTTCTATCAGAAACTGTGACATATCAAATAGTGTTTTGATTGGAAAATCAACAACTGTAGGAGAAAGTACAAAAATAACAAGAAGTTGTATCGGTTCTAACTGTAAAATAGGTTAACAGTTTTTAACTTTAGTTTTTGAAATATGATCCATGCACTTATTTCATAAAAAGTAGATAAAAAAGTATATATCCTTTTTTTTTTGCCAAAAGAGATCTTTTAAATATGCAGATATTGCCCATATCCTCATCGGTCAGTTGATGAATTTACCAAAGCCCCCAATTGTTTACTTTTAAGTTTATTTTTAATTTAATTTTTTTTAAATTGATTTTTGTTACATTATAATTTAACAAAGTTTGCATCTTAGGTAGCAATGTGACTATAATCAATTCATACATTTGGGATGATGTTGTTATCAAAGACAATGCTGTGATTAACCAAACTTTGATTTGTAACAATTGTTGTATAAATAAGTATTTTTATTTTTATATGTGTTTAATTTTATTTTTGTACTTTATCTGACATGAAACAGCATTCTTTGATTCTAATTTTTCTCATTATTGAATTTTTGTAATTTTGATTTTACTTTTTAAACGAAATTTTGTATATATATATATATATATATATATATATATATATATATATATATATATATATATATACAAAATTTCGTTTAAAAAGTAAAAGTAATCTGTGTATGTGTGTCTATAGTAGGAATTCTTCTTTTCATTCTGATTTCTCACTATCAAAAAAATATTTTCACAGTAAGTAAGAGATTTTTTGACATTTTTCCAACAGTACCTTTTTAACATTTGAATTCAATTGTAATGCTTAAACAATGTCATGTCATGATTAGATGCTCAAAGTGTAGGTTTTGATGACTTTAATAAATAAAAAATATTCTGAAATGCTTAGAGTGCTGCTGCAAAAATTGGTTTGGTAAATGCATGATGCAGATCATTTGCCTTGCTATATAGTTTGAGGTATAGTCTATTGTCTGATCATATGCAACATTTGTCATAGGCATTAATACAGAAAAAGCATTGACAAAAGCATTTTTTTCAACAAATCTTATTGTATTAAAGCTTTTTAACTATTTTGCGAATGATAAACGTTGCTCTTCATTATCCATACTCACTGGAATATTTGATTGAATACATCCACTATTTAGTTTTAGCAGATACATCCACTATTTAGGTGCTATGCTCAGAAAAAGTTCAAACAAAAGGAATCATTTAGAAACAGAATTTTTCCAGCTTTACTTTCAGATTAGTATACTGCATCATTCAATTAATATGTTTGCCAGGTGTATTTATTGTGTTTGGTACATAAACAGTGATATATATATATATATATATATATATATATATATATATATATATATATATATATATATATATACATATATGTATATATATATATATACATATATGTATATATATATTTATATATATATATATATATATATATATATATATATATATATATATATATATATATATATATATATATATATATATATATATATATATATATATATATATATATATATATATATATATATATAAGTACACTTCTGTTTTTATGGTTATGAGGGAAGTTTCATTAGTATGGTTATGAGTGGAGTTTCATATACACTTTTTTAAATTTAGATCTGTTTCTTTAACTGATTCCATAATTTCATTTGGCGTAAGTAAAATTATTTATTGTATTTATTACAGGCCTATTTTTATACATATACTTATATTTTATAAATATTTTTTTAATAGTTTTTGATTTGCTTTTATAACTTTATTTACTTTATGTAAAAGTGTATAACAAACTTACAGTTTATTTTTTGTTTAAGAATGTGAATGACATCGCTATCATCTTTTTAAACTTTTTTATTTAATGTTGTGTTGCTTTTTTACTTAATGTTGTGTTGCCAAGACAACTTGTGTTTGTTTTGTAGATAAAAAGGCTTTTATTAAATGTAATTAACTTTTACTTACAAAAAGCTATTAAAAAAATACATAGTCATTATGTAAAAACAAAATCAGTGAAAAAAAAATAATTTTAATAAGTATTTTGTTTTCACTGACAATCAAATTTATTTGTATTATATTTCACTAAATCCAAAAAATAATATATTTTAGTTTTTAGATTTTGTTAGAGGAACTTGTTATTTAAAAAATGTCTGGATAATTTATAAATTTATATCTTCCTAATATTACATTTGTATAGTACTTAACAGTTTTGTTTTTAAAATAAAAAAAGAAGAGTAAGACAAAAATAAGTAAGACTTACAAAGTGTTACTTAAAACCTTTTACAATCTAAAAAAAGTTGTATTAACAATAATATTGTTTAAAAGTTAGTTTTACTTTTTACAATGTTTTTTTTTTTTTTTTTTAAAGAAGTTATAATTAAAGTTCTTTAAAAAAGAATTTTTTTAACTTCAATTACAAAAAAAATTCTAAGTAAAGAGAATTAATCACTTATCTAGTGCAATAAATCTTCTAATAAGAGATCTTTTATGTTTACCTGTGTTGGTTGAAGTTATATTGAATCAAAATTCAATGCAACCTCAACCAATTACTTCGTTGTACTGATCTTCTCCAGATAAATAGTTTAATGGCCTAACACCAAGAAGTTAGGCTCTTTATCAATGTTTGCAAGAACAGCTAGTCTGTCATGCTTTACTTTTTTTTTGTTTTTGATTTCAAATAGGATCTTTCCATCAAAGTGAACACATGCTTGCACGATAAGTTTGATGTCTTTTCTAGCAATAAGTGCCATTTCCTGAGTTGTTTCTTTTCTAAATGTTGTTTTGTTTTAAATCTGCTGCAACTTGATCAACACTAGAACTATCATGGTTGCATCTTTTTTTTGCTTAGTCAAGGATTGCAGCTTTTGTCATAAATATATAAAAAACTTTAAAATTTTTTTAGATGAGTTTCTCTTCCTTGTATTCACTAAAATCTTAACATGCATTATACCAATGCATTATACCAAATTAAACATACCATGCATTATACCAAATTTAACAATCTTTTATAATTATTCAATAACAATAGTCCTTTTTTGATCACTTCATTAAAAGTATAATAATATTCTTTTCTAATTTCTTCATCCAATTAAAATGTAATAGAGCTAAAAGTAAGGAAGCAACGACGAAAGCCATTTACTGAAAAACTGATAAAAGAAAAGAGAGCTTTTTAGTTTAGAAAAATATTATAAAATGGATTATGTTCTCGCTGTATTTCTTGTCTGATGGCCCTAAAAATAGCTTCTTGTCATGTTCTTGATTTTGTATAAGTTTAGGTCATCTTTCTGATACAGGTTTAATCTATTTTTGTCATTTTTCATCCAGTTTTGTCTTCACAAGATGTCAGTATGTTGTAATAATACACTAATAATGCTTTTTAATGCATACATTTTTCATATTTCCTTCACAAGGAAAGAGGAGGTTTTGAAAAGTTCACTTTTCAAAACCTCCTCTTTCTCAGCCTCCGTATTTCCGGTTCTTTAAACGGTCTTTTTACACCAAACAAGCAAGTATCAAAGACTTTTTTGATATTTTAGGAAAAATTATAAAACTTTGTGTTTTAAAATATCTAACCAGTTAACTTCTGATCAACAAAAAAAAAAAAAAGAAAAAAAAAAAAAAGAAATTCTCGTTGTTTCTTTCAAATTATAATCTTTTTGAAATTAGTATTTAATTATTTCCTAAAAGAATGTGTTACTAATATTAATGGTTTAACTTTCTCAATAATAAAATGTTATTTGTTTTAAATTTTTCCATTTCACTTTTTTTTTTTTTTTGTAATTACTTTTTAATAATTTTTCACTACTATTTGCATTTATCAACTATCATTTTAATATCATTTTAACAGTTTCTCACTACTGTTTGTAATTACAGCTATCATTTTAACAGTTTCTCACTACTTTTTGTACTTGTAACATTTTCTGTGCCTCTTCTTAATCTTCTATTAAACTTTCTATTATTCTTTCAACTTTTTAAAATTGTTCTTAAATGAAACTCTTATCTTTAAAAATATTGGATGAAAATGTTTACTCCAGAATTTTTCAGTATACAATTTACAATCATCAATATATTCTTTTTACTAGTTTTAAAAAGGTTAAAATAAAATGTTTTGATTAGGTAGGACAAATTAAACAATAGAAAAAATACAAATATGCAATCAAAGCAAACTTTTAAAAATGCTTAAGTGTGTTTAACATTAAATTAAAGTTTGCTTCTTTTTTAAATGAGCATTAAATGTTTTGTTTGTTTTTGCAAGATAAATGTCAATATTTTACAAAATGTTTACCTTGTGTTTAAAGCCACATTTCTTGTGTTTTCATTACTTGCTAATTCTATGGGGTATTTTTTAGTGTTTTCTGATGCTTGAGCACAAGATCTCAATACTTTTATAGCTTTTTTTTTTTATATTTGACCAAAAATTTGACCTTTTATGTATTTTTATTTTCAAATTTTTTTGAACACCCCTAATATACATATTAATTAGGCTAAATCAAGTAAAATGCAATTTAGAATTTTTTTTCCATCCAATTAATTGTTTTTAGTGTAATTTATAATGTTCAAAGCAGAGACATAAATATTCATATTTATAAAATTTGAAGCATTTAGACATCATTAATAATTAAATTTATTCAAAACATTAAGATATAACAAATATTTAAATTTATAATATTCGAAGCAGAGACATTAATATTCAAATTTATGATATTCAAAGCATCAAGACATCATTATTATTCAAACTTATAATATTTGAAGCATCAAGACATTATTATTATTATTCAAATTTATGATATTTAAAACATTGAGACATTTACATGAGGTATTTTATGTTAAAAAAAAGGCCCCTTAACTTTTTCCCCTTCTCTAAGATGTAAATAGCAAAAATATGTTTCTTATTCATGTAAAAGAGATATCTGTGAAACTTTATTTTTTAAAAAAATTGCATTTTAAGGAAAAAAATTGCGTATTTTAGGAACTCTCTTAATAATATATACTTTCAGTTAATAAAAAATACACATTTTTGGTGTTGCTTTTTTTTCAAGTCCTACATATAGTTCTGTTTCATGTTTTCTGATCTGTAGCACAGTTAGCTTTAACTAATGTTAGGTTTTTTGAATTGTGTCCAAATTAATTTCAACGTTTTCTGAAAGAGTATAGTTTACTTATCACAATGTATATAGTCCACCAAATCAGAAAACTCCTATTAAGTAATTATGGCGTTTTAAAGATTTTTTCGCGGCTTTTATTTCGCGCCTTTTTTGCAAGTGTTTTGCGCCATTTTTTGGTCCGCCATGTTTTCATTCAAAATTTTGTTGTTAATTTTAGTTAAAAGTTACAGACAATTTATTAGCAATTAATAATACAGAAGGTATTTTGTTATATTACATTGTTAAAGAGTGGATAATCACATAATCAGAATGTTTTAAATCATCAAACAAACATATATTTACAAATATAAATTTAAAAACTATTATTTCTGAATTGAATCACTAAAAAATATCAACATTTAGATCAACATTTCCAAGAGAAACAAGATGTTTTCCATTATAAGAACTTAATGCCCTTACTAAATTATGTCCATAATTAGAATTATTTGCAGACACCTTGTAGCGGTTCCATGAGACAGTTTTGAAAAGGTAGTGAACACTTTCTCCAGATTGCTCCAAATAAACTCCAAGGCCCATTTTTTTTGTTTTACAGAATTCAGATACATGATTGAACAGGATATGGAATTTTGGTGTTAAAGTAATACCATGTTCTAACATCAACTTTTTATAGCAGGCTTTTAAATTTTCGATATTAGTTTGAAAGTTTTCATCAAGTCCGGATCCAAAGCAAGACTCAACAACTAAATTTAATAACCTTAAGCATTCTCCAAAAGACTTTAGTTTAATTGGCAGCTTATCATAAAACACTTCCCACTTTTTAAGAATTTTTCGAGAAGAATTTCCATTAAATTTTCCACCATGCTGACCAGTCTTAATAATTTGCAACTGTTCATAAATCTCCTTCATACTCATTTCCGACCAAATCTGCTCCATTACATGATTGACTGTTCCCTCCATTATATGAAGCTCTGGTAAAACAAGTCTATCTATAAGAAATTCAGAGGGGTTTCCATGTACTAATACAGGGTTTATACAATTCTTAAAATGTTGTGCACACTTAGGTTTTGAACCAGATTCTTTGAATTTTGTATAGTTTTCTTGACAGCTCTCAAAGGTTCTGTATGGAGCATTTTTCTAAGCTTCTCTTCTATCCCACTCACATACATAACAGGGATGAATCGAACTGCTACTTGGAGATATACCTGTCAGAATTTGACTAAGTTTTATGTTGCATACCCCAATGTGCTCAACTTTATCAAGATTTAGTTTTTCAAATAATATTTTAATGTTAAAATATCTTTCTGGGATCTCTGGAGCTACCAGAAGAAGAAATGAAGCATTTACTGACAAATCTTTGAATTTCTTTATTAGACCATCTTTATATGAACCCCTGCAAGCTGTTACGGGTTTTGTTTCAAGGTGATTTATGTCAAACTTGCCGTAATTTTCAAAAATTTCATTGATATCAACTATGTTTAAACAAAATTTGATAAAATCACTTCCCCCATCAACAGCAATTTTAAACAACTGATTCTTAGAATCAACACATTTAAGATCC